TGTTTCAAGGGATTTCCAATTTCATTCTGTTTCTTTGTGATATGAAAGGGGTGCACACACACCTTCTCACACATAGGAAGGGAGTTGTGTGTCAAGGGGTCTGGCTGGTTAACCCCACCCCACATTCACCGTGTTTGCAGTTATGTCTTCCACCAACCACATATTTAGCAGGTATGTGAAATGCCCCTCTGCATGTCCAGAGGCAGCTGTGCAGGATTCTTTCACATGAGGGGGAATTCTGAGTCATTTAAGATTCCCCATCACACGGGGCAGACCTACACCCATGCATCACGCAGCTGCCATTTGAATGGTCCGTAGGGGGCGTGGCCAGTGAACACGTTGTCATAGCAGGAGAGGCTAAGCTGCTGTGACCCTGCAACCTCTGACGTGTGCATTCAGTGTTGAGGGAGGTTGTGTGAATCTATTTCATTCTAAGCTAAAACCCATCTCACTATGCATAACAGAGAAATTATTATTACTATTATTATTATTATTATTAGAATTTATATACTGCCCTATACCTGGAGGTCTCAGGGTGATTCACAGAAATGTTCAGCTGATCATATTTGCCACTACATGGTACATATTTAGGCTGAAATCAATCAATGGTTATTTAAAATTGAGGGTGATTTGAAACAGCGGATATGGCTTGTGAAGCGTACACTTATCTCACAATTGCCTCTGGTAAGGTTTCGGTACAGTGGCCGTACACAGGCCTATGCTCCAACTGTCCTTATTTACCAGGGGCAGACCACGTTATTTGGAAGCCTAAATCACTTTCCCTGTCTGGAATAATGTTTGCAAAATTGCAGTTGCTCCAAAATAGAACAGCTTGATTACTGACTGCAACCAGGCATATTATGCCACCATTGAAACAGCTACAGTGGCTTCCAGCACATTTCTGGGAACAATCAAAAAGTGCTGACCTGTGCAGCTTGAGACTCACCTCAGGGATGACCACCCCCCATGTAAACCTGTCCAGGAGTTTACCCTAATGTTTCCAGATTTTTTCCGGGGACACTTTTCAACTTCCTACTAAATAGGTGGATTTTGTCAGGGGACTGATTTGTAAATCTGGGGACTGTCCCTGGGAAATGGGGACATCCGGTAATCTTAGTTTACCCTTTTCAGTGACTCACTTCCATGACCAACTGCTCTCAGTTGAGGTGCATAGCGGTGCCCAGAGACAGGGCTTTTTTGGTGGTAGCACCTTGGCTTTGCAAGTTCTCCCCAGAAGTGTTCACTTAGGGCTGAGTTTGTTGTCTTTTTGACTTATTCATTTTCCCAGGCCTTTTAGATTATTGTAGAGTTTTCTTTCAAACAAACAAAAACCACAAGTTTTTATCTCATTATGGTGTTTTTATGTTTTGCCTATTATTTATTAGTTCTTAACTTTGTTGCTCTTTTTAATTTTATTCTGAAAGCCACACTCAGAAATTATATTGAAGAGTGGGATATTAAATATCACAAATAAATAAAAGGTTCCCTAACCGCAAAATGTGAGAAAGGAGGACCCATGGCGGGTACAAACAATATTTAAAGGCAGACTTATCAGGGAACATGTCATCCAGCATGACATGGAGCAAGTTCCAACTTTAGATTTCCCCTGTGCTGGGCCCAGGCAACACGATCCAGGTCCAGTCCCGAATCCAAGGATTCCGCGAGGAGTCAGTCCAACAGGGCCAAGGCAGGTCACCAGACAGGAAACCAGGCAAGGTCAGGCACAGGATCTCAGACAGGTTCCAGCAAGCAGCAATGTTGCTCCCGCAACCTGGGGCGGGGTCCGACAGCCTTTTATCTCTGCCGGGGTAACAGGCGGTCCTGATCCCCTGGTGACTCACCTCCCTGTCTCGCCCGAAGGCGAGCACTCCTCCTGCGAGTACTCAGGTCTCTCCTTCTCTCAGACCTGAGTCTCTGCAGCTCAGGAGATGTCGTGGGTTACTAGACCCAGAGGCCGCCTCAGCCTCCCCTGACCCAACCGGTGGTGGAGCAGCTGTAAGTGATTGCCTGGCTGAAGGCAACGAGGTACCGGTAATCGCCGCATCTGGAGCCAGGGCAGGCTCAGGCCCCTGACTCGGCCCAGCTGGTGCTTGTTGCAAGGGAACCTGTGCAGACTGGGGCTCTTCAGAATCAGGCCCCAGACTCGGTTCAGACGCCGCCTGAGACAGAGGATCCGGTGCAGACTGAAACTCCTCTGGTTCCGAGTCCGAGTCCGAATCCCAGGCCATCACATCCCACTCTGTATTACACATAGCTTGGAAAAGGACTTAACAGCACTGAACAAACAGCATTTACTTTTCAATATCTATCAGGTTGTTACACTTAATATTTACTTATTTATTCAATTTATCAACCAACAAACAAAAAAGTAATCTGGGTGACATAAAAGTAAAAACAAATTAGAATTGCAATGAGACAAAATAAGGGAAATATAAAATCAAAACAAATCACTTTATCACAGAGATCAAGAGATTAAAACATTGCAGCAACCATCAGTTAGATCAGAGCTGGGGGGTGGGAGAGGAAATATAAATTTCACAGAACTAAGTAATTGTGTTAAAACCAAACCAAGGTTCCAATAAAGCAACACTTAGGTATTTATGGGTCATGGGCAATGGAAGGTATCGTTTTTCTTACAGTGCCATGTTTATTCAGCTCCCAGGAGACTACTGTTGTCAAGTCTGCTGGTGGAGATAGGAAAAGCAAATGACTCTAGGACAGTAAGATACCAGTTGGGCAGTCATTATAAATCGACTACCTGCAGGATAATTCAATCAGTTTATGGCATTATCAGAGCTGAGATGGGATTTATAACAGAAAACCCTTCTAATAATTGCACTGTGCCTACTTTTATTTTTTGCACTATATTATTTTTACCTTTGTAATTATAATTGTAATTTTGGAAACCATAAAGTTATTAATATTATTACTGGATTAGAGGTCTAACTATTCAGTTTCTGTTTGTAGGGGGGCACTTGAGATGAAGAGATTTTTTACTTGTTGGAGCACTTCTGTCTTTTAAAAATGTGGCTTTATTTTTAACTGCCTTTGGAGACTGAAATCAGGAATAGAGGACCAAGGTGGGCTGAAGAAGTGTACTGCAGGTGCTTGATCTTTCTTGGTTGCCCTCTCCCAGGTACTGGACCCCATACCCTTCCTTCCTTTGATTGAAAAAGCAGCCTCTTTCTGATCAGAATTTTGTGGGATGGTTTTTGTTTTCTATTATTGGAATAGTGTTGGAGATTCACACGGATCAAATTGTATTTCAGGCTTAGTTGAGTGATGGGTTCCGGTAGCTCTTTTTCTAGAAAAATAGCACTATAGTATTTAGGAAGGCTACATCTATACTTGAAGCATAACTTTGCAACAGAGATGAAGGTTATCGATTCTGAATGCACACCTATATAAACAAACAACACTTCCTGAAAGTAGAAAATAAAGATACTAATAGTGGGCTTGGTGTTTTGTTTCCGCTTTTCTTTTTAAAGAACAGTTTATTAGGACTAACAACAAAAACAACAATTTGTACCACACCCATCTCTGACTGGGTTGCCCCAGCCACTCTGGGCGGCTTCCAGCATATAGAAGAACATTATTATTATTATTATTATTATTATTATTATTATTATTTAACATTAAAAACTTCCCTATACCTGGCTGCCTTCATATGTCTTCTAAATGTTGTATACAGTAGTTACTTATATCAAAGAAAAGCTGGCAAAGAAAAAATAAAAACTTGAAGTACACACATAGACATGTGATTATAGCAGACATAAGAACAAAACAAGTAGACAAGAGAAAATATCCCACAAATATAGAGTCAAATCATGCTCTTTGACCCAAACATATTTAGAAAACCATTTCACTCAAAGTATATTTCTCTCTCTCCTTGGCATCTTTCTTTCCTTCAACTGACAACCAAGTTTTTCCATAAGGGCCATGAACCAAGTCCGAGAATACAATTCCTCCATCAAATTAGGGGTGACTAATTTCCAGCTTCAGGCTACCATCTAAAATGTCCCTAGCCTTCCAGAGCCCCTCCAATAATTTGGGCTCGTGCTATGAGTTTTGCTACTCAAGATTGTGCAGAGACACTTTCCGCTTGATGCGCTAGCCTTCACTTTGCCCAGTGGCGTAGCGTGGGGGGTGCAGGGGGGGCCGGCCACACCAGGCGCAACATCTGGGGGGGGGCGCGCTCGCACTCACAGCTCTCTGCCCCTACCTGGCTCACTCACTCACTCTCACGGCAGTGCTGGCTGTGCGAATCCGATCCGAGCCGCTGGGTCGCCGCCCACTGTGGAGGGGGTGGGTGCCAGGCGTGCGGTGCAGAGAGAGAGCGAGGGACTATCTGGGGGAGGGACAGTGCAGCGGCCGCCCAGCGCAGCGCTGAGCGCGGGAGAGAACCACACCAGACCAGCCCAGGCAGCAGCAAGAAGAAGCTGGCAGCGGCGGCAGGTTAGGGGTTAGGGGGCGCAAATTACTTGCCTTGCCCCGGGTGCTGACAACCCACGCTACGCCGCTGACTTTGCCAGATGTCTTCTTCTCAGTGGAAGGCCATTCAAACATAACCAGAACCCCTTGCTTTACAGCCAAGGCTGCAACCTCATTCTTGCTACTCTGTGTTGATAAGCAGGAGAAGATACTGCTCTATGTGTTGAGAAGCAGCCGAGTAAGAAAGAGTAACCTCTTCCTCCGTTTCTGCAGCCTGTGTGTTGTTGGATAGGCAGCTCATGCCCATTTGCAATTAAAGACCTCCTGGAAGGCTGGGCATAATTCAGGCTGGAATGGCATTCTTTTAACCCACCTTTGCAAGCGAGTTTGGACGTGGCTGCTTCACTAGAATTAAACCGTGTTAGGGATCCTGCAGCGGGTTATAGGGACACCGGACTCCCCCGCTAGGACAGCCTTCAGGGCTCCCGCTCCGCTTCCAGGAACACGTCGAACCTGCAAGGCCGCCGCCTCCTCGCTTCTCCCGGCCGGCGGGGCGGAGGCAGGCAGGCAGGCGGGCGGGCGCTGCCAGGCGGAGTCGGCGGGGCGGGCCGGGGCGGGCCTTCCCAGCCCGGCCCTTCTGCCGCCGCCCGGGCCTCCTCCTCCTCCTCCTCCTGCTCCTCTTTGTGCGCCCTGGCTGGCGCTCGCGGGCGGAGACCCTCCTGTCGCCCCGGACAGCGGCCCAGCCGGAGGGGCGCGACCCCGCAGCTGCTTGCCAGGGCGGGCGGACCCTGCCCGGACCCGCCGTTCCGCTCACTTCGGGGAGAAGCCGGGGACCCCGCTCCCTCCGCGCTCCTTTCCCGGAGGCTCCTCCGCCGCTGCCCTTTCCTGCCGCTGGAGCCAGATGCCGCCGCTCTTTGCTGCTTCCGAGCGCGTGTGAGGAGAAAGGGAGAGATGAACCATTTCCAGCCGGGGATCCTACTGCTGCTCTTCCTGCTCCTGGAGGTAAGACAGAGCAGTATTACTAGGGGTTGCTGTTACTCCTGTTGTCATTAGAGAGGCTTGGGGTCTGAGTGTCTTCTGCCATCCCCAATGTACTCCCATACATTTGAAACCTTGTTGAGATTGAATGGAGACCCGGACGATTAGAGGCCATATAACAGGCAGGGAATAGCCTCCTTCTTATTGAGATCATGGGAAGCGATATTATTGTCCCAACTGTGCTTCTCCAGAGTAGCAGCATTCAGTCCTGTGCAAATCCTCGCTCCCAGTCTTCCAGCCTGCAGACAGGCTTGCCACCTCCGGCTGGATGTCACAGGTAAGCGTATATAATTTTCCACAGACACACTCTCCCTTATGCAAAGCTGCCATAGGGAGGCTGGGAACTTGAGCAAAGTGAAGGTGGGGCAGGGCTGCTTAGTTAACCCTTTTCCTTCAGGGCATTTACCTGGAAGTAATGCCCCCTCCCAAATTGCTCCCCTTCCCCTGCAGGGAATAAGACCCATGACCACTTTTCCTTTTAACTGTGGAGATAAAAATATATTGGGAGAGGGATTTTGAGTAGAAAAATGATTTGGGGGAAACAGTTAAGCCTGACCCTCTGCCCATGCAGAGTTCAAGGTCCTAGCCTCCCATGACAGCTGTTTATTTTAATCCATTTTATTTTGAGGTTGCACGTAGTTGGACCTGGAGAAGTAGGCCTAACTGGTTTGTAGATATGAAGGCATATGTTCATAGATAGGATTGAGGACTCCTTCATTACTAACTGCTGATGTTAACTCCACAGGAAACTAAATGTGATGTCGATACACAGATTTGATACGTCTTAGGTGCATTTTCATTTTTAATCAGCTGTGAAGGTTTTACAGAGTTTTGATAGCACGGGCCTTGTTTCTTCCTCATCCTCACCATTATGAGTTTTTATTTATAGAGAAATATCTGAAATCACTAGCTTCCTGCGCATTGCAAATAAATATAATACAAATTTTATTAATCACCAGGAATCATTTGTATTGCAAAATAATTACTGTTCTTTTTCATTAAAGTACTTTCTTATTATTGCTTTGTGTCCTCCTCCCAAATGTGATCCTGTTACGTAGATTAAATTCAGTAGTTATTTTATTTAAGTAGAGAGGCCTAGGGCTTTCTGCCTGCTAGGGAAGTCCCACCCCCACCCCCTGGGTACGTAAGGGTAGGCTGTGGCTACTCAAATAGTGATTGAAATATACTCTACACATACTCCAAGACAATTCTTATCCACATTTTTCAGAATCAAGAATGGATGTGCTCTGTTGGTACAATCCAAGATTGAGTGGCTACTTGGTGACAGGGCCTAACTGGACATTGTGTGCCAATATTTGTATTATAATCCAGATACTAGAGTGTTGTTGTCATAAGGAAAGCTGTTGAAAGAGGACCACCAGGAATGGAGAAGTAATGTAAGAGGAGCCACTGCTGTCTGACCTTCCTCACTTCAGGTGGCCTCTCAGTCTTCTCTCCATATTGGGGGGTGGAGAGGGAACCAGTCTGGCTGTCTGGGAGAGATTCTTATTTGTCACAAGTTACAAGTCAAGTTACAGGTGCTTAAAAACCCAGGGATTTTAGGTGGGGCAAGGGGGCAAAGGATTCAGCGAATGCGCCACTGGGTGATGGTGGATTGGCGCAGTAAAAGCCCAGCCCCAGCATTCAAGCAGGTTGTACTGTCTGAATCCTTGCTCAGTTAAACTGGAGGCAGCACTTCCTTGTTTCATGAGCAGCGAGTTGATCCAAAGAAAAAATAGGAAAAGAAGTTTTCACTGCAAGGCCTGTTCAGGTGCCTTTATTTAGCCATGCCAGGAAAGATTCACTGTGTTTGAGAGAGTAATTTTCATGAATCTTCTTTGGCTACATCATCATGCTGTTTTGCTTTGTTTTAATCAAAGAGGGTTTAGACTGTTTGTAGCTGGGTCTCTTCTCTTTGGCCTATTTGCCTTTGTAAAGCACTTAAGGCATTTTCCTAGATTCGGCACTGCTTAATTTTGCGTAATAGAAGCCGTGATTAGGTAGTACGACCCCCACCATCACCACCACCACCTATTCAAACCATAGGGTGGCTTAGGAGAATTCTTCCAGCTTCATAAATGGGGTCTGTCTGTTTTACGACTCTATCTTTGATTGATCTGTAAAGACGAATAGCCAGAAGGACTGTATTGCTGGAAGGATTTTTTAAATTTAAGCCTGGTATTTCACCCATGCCCCTTGATTTTGACAGAATCTGTATTGTGTTGTAATATATGAAACCACCTCTAGGAAGTTCTTTGTGGGCTGTGATTTGACACAATGGCCCCTAGGCAGAGGTCAACTACCCTATCACTGAACTGTATTGATTCATGAGGCGGTGAATCTCCCCAATAATTTTGCAAACACTGTGTTTACACTCCTTCTTTGCCCTATCATAGGAGGTATCCAGGAACATAAATGTCTTCTTTCTGTTAGTTATGGGATTTCAGATTGCATGTTCATCGAATGATCAAAACATATGGATCACTCCATATTAAGGAGTCATCATGAACACACTTGTCAGTGCAGATTTCTAGATTGATCGACTGCACACATTTTGTTGAACTCTGAGCTGGGGGTATTGATGTGTGTATTGTGTATATGGTGGTGGAGGAAGAAGCAATTTGCAGCTCTTTTCATCATTATCATGGGAAACTGGATTTGCACATATGACCTGAGTGGCTTTTCACATGCAAGGTGTGTGAAAAGTCACAGAAAAAATGGTAGCTTTTCCCCACTTCCTCTCATTGCAGAAGCTGTCCACATGGGTGGGTGGTGTGAGATACAGAGACCCAAGTTCTGTTTCTTTTGCCTCTGGAAATCAGAGGTGGTTTATGGTGATCCCTTTTCTGAAATGCACAAGGGTATTTCTAGTCCTAATCTTTCTGATCTCAAGTTCCCTGTGTAATAGAACAGAGAAACTCATAAATATTCTGTCCATGGAAGCATTTACTTTAGCTTGGCTCCAAAGGCTCCTCAAAGTCCACTAGGAACTTAATAACTGTCAATCATCCCCTGCTTCCCCCACCCCAAGGAACGTAATCAGAATGTGCAACAGTGATTGCCCAGCAAAGCACATGGCAGCACAATAGAAGATTAAGCTTTCAATGTTCAATCCATTTAGGAGAAACCCTGCAGTATTCCTTGTAAGCTTTAATTGACTTTATAAACAGGGTGTTTCAGCATAAGTTGTTAATGCTTCATGTACATGTTTTGCTTTTTTTGGCTGCTATACCAGAATTTCCTTTGATCTAAGCATTTAGGGTCTCAACACACCTGGAGTTTTCAGGGAGTGTGCATGGCTTCTAGGAAGACTCAGACCTTCTTTTATAATGGATTTTTGGAATTTAGTCCCCTCCCCCTTTTAAAGAAACAAACACTCATTTATCATTGACTGGGTTGTGTTGTATATATGTTCATTATATTCTTCCCATATGAGCCTTTCTGGGTCTTAAGGTCATCTGCTGGGGCCCTCCTCAGAGTGCTACCTCCAGTGGAAGTGTTTTTTGCAGCACCGAAGAGACCTCTCTGGAGCTGAAGCCTGGGCAGTGTGTATAGAACTCCTGGGCTGCCCCAACGAAAATGCCTCCCTCTCAGCCTTGCTGATGTACTTCAAGCTTGACTGCAAAAGTTGCCAGAAAGAGGCATACAAGCAGTGTTCAAAATTAGCCAGGCACGAGGTGCATTTTTGCACCTGGCTTTTGATGCGGGTGGCGCTGTGGGTAAAACCTCAGTGCCTAGGACTTGCCAATCGTATGGTCGGCGCTTCGAATCCTCGCGGCGGGGTGAGCTCCCGTTGTTCGGTCCCAGCTCCTGCCCACCTAGCAGTTCTAAAGCACCCCTAAGTGCAAGTAGATAAATAGGTACCGCTTTATAGCGGGAAGGTAAACGGCGTTTCCGTGTGCTGCGCTGGTGCTGGTTCGCCAGAGCAGCTTCGTCACGCTGACCACGTGACCCGGAAGTGTCTCCGGACAGCGCTGGCCCCCGGCCTCTTAAGTGAGATGGGCGCACAACCCTAGAGTCAGACACGACTGGCCCGTACGGGCAGGGGTACCTTTACCTTTACCTTACTTTGACCACTTGTGACCAAGTGAAGATGCCTGGGTGCCAGGATGGCGCGTGATACCTCCATCACCTGGAGGTGCATGCCTAGGGATCATTGGATCTGGACTGTTTTTAGATACCAATACCCCATCCTGTAGAATTCTATCAGTTATGTGTTATATGCACAATCAGAATGAATTTTAGGAACCAAAATGCTTTTTCTGTGTAGCCTGAGCAGGCACCATTAAGAAAAAGAGGTGGGAACAGGCCAATATATATGTGGATTGTCCCTGGATCTTTTAAGTTCTTCTTTAAGTTCTCAGAGCTGTTAACCTAGCTCAAGGTTGTCACCTGAATTTGCCAGATGTTTAACTGACCATCAATCACAGTCAGTCCATCATTTGAAAAATAAGACTTTAGAACTGCTCTGGTCAGACCTCATCTGGAGTACTGTGTCCAGTTCTGGGCACCACAGTTCAAGAAGGACACTGTTCTTTGAGTCATAGCTTTTAGCCAGCATACAATGAGGTCTGCTGGGTTTCGTCCTTTTTCGGGGAAGTTTTGGAAGTGGATGTTGCAATGTCTACTGCGATCTTCGAGGTCTGCTTGTTGAGTTCTCATTTATGTACTTTGTTTCCAGGTGGCTTACCAGTTCAGCCAATTCATTTTTCACACGTGTGTTTAGAGCCTCTCAGTACCACTCTATTAGTCTTTCTTGCATTTGGTTTTTATTTTCTAGAGTGGAGATGGTCCTAGTCAGGGTTTCCACTTTGGAAGTCAGGTTGCTGAGTCACTGTGTTCTTCGGTAGTTCTGCTAGTCTTTGTTCTGTTTTCCTCAGGTCCCATTTTGTTGTTGGGTTGTTGTCATCCTGGGGGGATGTTGTGGTCTCAGTGCTGTTCACCACCTCCCTGGTTGGTGCCATCTCAGTCCCTCTGGTTTGAGATGTGTGTGGTGTCCCTTTGGAGCGGAGTGTGTTGTAGTTAGGAGTTTTGGTGGTGATGGTTCCTGGATGTTGTTGAGTTGCTGAGTTGAACAGACGCAGTAGACTGGTGGCTTTTGCAGAGTGTCAGGATTAGGCTGCCATTTTGTCATGTCTGGGCTGTGTTTTAAGGGTCACTGTAGTCACCTCAGCTGTGTTGGTGAAGCGGGAAGCAGACAAGCAGACAGGCAGACAGACAAGCAGACGGACAGACCAACAGTTGACATAAAGGGATTAACAAGCAGAGATGCAAGAGACTGATGGGGTGGGGCCAGAGGGAGGGTGTGTGTTGAGGGGGCTGTTTGTGGATACACACACGCCTACACACTCATACCACAAATGAGGGAGTGGGGTCCAGTTAAGGGTGGGAAGTGGGGTTAGGGCTTTGTAGTAAAAAGTTAAAAATTAAAGGCTGGCAAGGTTGTATTCAAAAAAACAAAAAGGGGAAAGAAGGTGGGGAGGAAAGGGAAAGTAGAGGGAAATAAAAAAGAAAAATAAAGGGGGCAATTAGTAATAGTAATGATAAAAAAATGCAGTGGTGATTCAAGTTATAGTATGAGGTAAAAGACCACAAAAGGGGGAGGTACTATTGAAAGTAGATGGGGAGATATATGTATGTAGGTATGTTATTTATTTATTTATTTATTTATTTATTTATTAGGGGGGGAAGGAGAGAAAAGAAAAGAGAGAAGAAGGAGGGGGATGGAAAGAGTAGAAAGTTTAGGAGTTAAGAAAGAAGAAGAAAACATGTTGAGGTGTGGTATCTGAAAGTTTTTTTTATATCTATATATATATTTATTTATCTATCTATATATAAAATAAAAAGTGTATTGAAAACCGTTTTGAGAGGGGGCATTATTATTTACTTATTTATTATAGATGATAGATAGATAGATAGATAGATAGATAGATAGATATAGATATATACACTTTAAAGAGGAAAAGGAAAGAGAAAGAAGGAAAAATAATAGCAATAACAATAAAGTGGAATAAAAAATTTGGGTGGGAGGAAGAAAGGTGATGATAATAATGGAAGGGCAGGGAGGGAGGGAGAAAAAGACTGTCCGATTTCTCCCTCATTTAATTTAAAAAAATAAAAATAAACAAATAAAAAAGAAGAGGGATCAGGGCTGAAGCTGTGGTGGCAGGAAGTGGCCTGTGTTGGTTTAGGGCCTCCTTATGGGGACCGTCATTTTAATTCTTGAGAGTTAGAATGAATGAGTGAATAATGTATTTAAAATATTTTTTTTAATTAAGAAAAGAATTTTTTTGGATCCTGTGTCCGTTTCCATCCACCAGCCGGGGAGGGGCCGCCCAGCGCCTGTCTTCTCCCAGGCAAGACCTTCTTCTCCCCAATGGGCCCCTTCCCACTTCCCTTGCGCTGGTCACCAGAGAGGTTAGCTTGGGGCCAGGTTTGGACTGGGCTGCCCACTTTTATGCGGCCCCCCTGGCTCTCTCTCTCAATGGCTGCAGCAGCGGCTGTGGTGGCGGAGGCTGGTGAGCATTCAGCTGAGGAGTTGTCTGCTCAGCTCCGGAAGCCTCCAGACCTCTGAGCTCTGCTGGATCACTTATGGGGCAATCCCAGTCCTGGTGGAGCTGAGGTCATAGGGGGTTGGGGGCTCCACACAGCCCTCTCGACCTTCACGTTGGCCCCCCTGGCTCCCCCCTGCTTGTGGCAGCATTGGTGTTGGTGGTGCGGGGACCGGCCAGAGCACCCTGTTGGTCTTGGCAGTCCCTATGAGCTCAGCACGGCTGTTGCACTCGCCATCTTGCTTAACCCAGGCCTCTGTTATGGCTTTGAAGGCCAAATGGGAGAGGGAGCAAGTTCTTAAGGCCCAATGCAGAGTTGGAAGGGACCCTGAGGATCATCTAGTCAACCCCCCTGCAATGCAGGAATAGGCAGCTGTCCCCTGCAGGGATCGATCCTGCTACCTTGGTGTTATCAGCACTATGCTCTAACCCAGGCTTTCTCAACCTCGGCCCTCCAGATGTTTTGGCCTACAACTCCCATGATCCCTAGCTAGCAGGCTGATAATTGTTCCATTATAACCTGTTCCATTGTTCATTCTAATTAAAACCAATGCTTACAGGAAGAGGCAATTGTCACAGGAAGAGGTAATGGCCAGAAATTAGTAAGGGTTCAGAATGCTCAAACAGGAAGGGACAGCCACTATGTTGGCAATACAGAGAGCAGGAGACCAAGTGTCTGGTTGCCTAGGTGATGCAGAAGGAAATACACATCCCAACCAAAGCAGCCTGGCTCTGCTGATTTCTGAAATGGAGTCTTTCTCTTTTGGAAATGGCGATAGCTACAGCATGTCAAACAGGCCGGCCTCTTTGCTGTTGGGGGAATGAAAATGCACTAGATTAATTTTACTTTCAAACACTGCCATCTCCAAGATTTTGGAAATGCACATCTGAATATATTTTCAGAACCGTAGATAACAATGAAAAGAGGGCAACACTGAGACAAGCAGAGACAAGTAAATCAGTCTCTGTGCTTGTGAAGAAAAAATTTGTGAAGGCAGAAAAGATTAAACTGAATGTTCCCTTGATTTACTTCTGCTGAAGAGGTGGTTTATCAATATTTTCTGAAGAGTTTTCCCCAGAGGCCCCCCACCACCATTCCTATATTGTATTAATATTAATTACAGTCTGCTGCTATAATTGAATGTTTTCTGTTCTATCCTGTGTGATAAAGTAATCAAAATTTGATCAAGCTGGTCTAAATCTGGTCAGAGGCTGCATTAAGAATAGAGAAAGGCATAATTCTAAGAGCAGTGGGACTTGTTTCTCATAGCATCCAATACAAACATAGCATTCATTGACTCAACGTGAGCTCTGAAAAAACAATTCTGCAAATGCCCAGCAGGGTTCAGCTGAAACAGGGCAAAATTAACTATGGATGATGCACATTGGCTAACAAACTTGATTTCACTAGCCCCAGCCCAGAACATCTTTGAAAATGTGTTTGCAGATTTATTTATCTTTTAGAAAATGAAACAGGACATTTATGTCTGAGTATATACATGCTGCTCTGAAATATTAAAACAAGGCAAGACAGGCTTCCTAAAGCCTGAAAGGAAGGGGTGAAATCAATGGCTGAACCTGTGTTATAATTCTGGTGGGCATGAATGCAAAGCAAGTTGCAAAACTGGGACCATTCTGTAGTCCTGTAGGACAACATGGGGAATTCTTGCAGGCTTGTATGGTAGTCACTGGGAAGCAAGGACATGATGAGCTTCATGGCAGCCACTGAAATTAGCAGCCCAACATCTTGTTTCCTCCTTCTCCTTGTACAATACAGTACAACTGCAACTTATGCACACTTAACATGTGCGGTTTCAGCTTTATACGGTTGAAGGCCAGCCAGTTAGACTCACACAAATTAAATGCACAGAAGGCAGACAGCCTAAAGGCCTTTTGCATGCCTGGTCAGCCTCCTACCCAGTGTTAATAAGTGGAAGAAAGTTGCAACACATAAGCATCACCTAACATTTTCAGTTAATCAACTGCATGTCAAAAGTTTTTAATTATCAAAGATAAGATGAGGGTGGTTTAGGATGAAATGTGGTGTATATAAACTGAAAAATGAAAAAAAAAAAGTTGTGGATTTGGAAAAGAGTCTGCAAAATAACTGATCAAAACATTTCAGTACCAATGGATTTTTTTTGGTGGGAGGGTTGCCATGTGTCCAGAATTTCCCAGACATACATGGAATACTGCAGTCAGTGTCCGGACATATGGCAACCCATTGTCATTTTTGCCGATTTCCCTCAATAACTTTGGGTAAAAAAATATTAAAAAATGCAACAACTTTGCCAAAAAAAGCTCAGGCAATCCTAAATTAGTGGCGATGGTAGGTCTGCCAAGTATTCTAGTTTTCTTGTAGCTCTTACTTTACCTAGGATTCAATCTTCTTAATTCTGTTTTTGTGGCTGTAGCTTTACTGAAGTGCATCAATGAGTTAATGGGTCAATGTATTCTTCTGTCACAGCTGATAGATTATTATGGGTACACTAAACGTTTAAGCTAGAAATAATGTACATTTGTAATATATTTCATGCAGAAATCTTAGTGCACTGTGGAAATGTTGATTAAACCTGATTACATGGAAATTGCATGCATGAGTAGCTTTAGAGTGGAGGCACAGAGCAAAGTAGGATTATAAACAAAAGCAATTTACTTGAGAGAAAGTGTGTGGAGGGGAAGGAAGACACGCAAAGGCTACCTGCGTGATCAGATTTGGGCAGTCATTCTAGTGTTTCCATAGCCATTATTTTTGTAGCATTGCCAATGCCTTGTCTTTATTGATTACATTTCTTTTAATATCTTATGAAATTCCATCCAGTCATAGAGCCATCTTTCTCGGCTAGTTCTTGAGGTCATTATGGCTATGTTTTTGCCAATGCTCAGCAGTCAGAAAGGGACTTTGCCCAAGTAAAATGGAGGCAGTGCAAGACTGTGTGGTGCTTCTTCTAACTTCCAAGCACTCAGTTTAACATGAGTGAGTGTCCTCCTCTAGTGGTCTTTTATGTGCAGACAGCTTGAGGGATGTGTGAAGGCAGAGGACATTATATGGACCAGGTAGGGTGAGTCTCATGCAAGGGTACATCTCAGAGGGGAGTCTGGGCCACTCTGTCAGTTTATGGGCCTTGCCTTGGGAGGGGCCTCAAAACCTTAGAGCCAGCTCTAGGTTCATCTGGTTTCTACTTTGATGATGATGACTTACTAATATTTATTAAATTTGTATACTGTCCTTCATCTGCAGATCTCAGGGTGATTCACAAGATAAGAACACAAAATACATAAGAAAAACAAGAACAAAAACCAATAACCCCCCACCCCTCAAGAACACATTTAAAAGGCCATAGATTGTTTAATCAGCTGAAGGCCCTGGTTATAGAGAAATGTTTTTGGCTGGTGCCTAAAGATATGCAATGAAGGTGCCAGGCGAGCCTCCCTGGGCAGAACACTCCACAAGCAGGGAGCCACTGCAGAAAAGGCCCATTCTCGTGGTTGCCACCCTCCAGGCCTCTCATGGAGGAGGCACACAAAGAAGGGACTCAGATGGTGATTGCATGGTCCAGGTGATCCTTAACTCCAGGGCATATTCTGGCCACAACGAAAATTCTGAAGTCCATGTGTTAATCAAGTTAGTTAATCAAGTTAATCAAGTTCCTAGTTCACAATATCTAATTGCTAGAATGCAGTTCCAACTTTTAGTGGTGTCAAGATTTATTAATGCATATTACTTTTAGCACCCTGTTATACTCATCAGCAGACTGGCTAAATAAAAGAATTCATTACACTCCATGCCCAAATGTGAAGCTTGTTCTTCCTGAAATTCTAGACCCTTTACCCCAGTTTCTTTCTCACTTTATTTGCCCTTGGTTATCTGTATAGGCCATGGGATGCTGTCTGACTGTTGGGACTATTGGGAGGCAGGCAGACAGAAAACCAAGAGGGGAGGGGAGCAGAATCATGTGTCCTGGAAGAGGGCCTGGCTGGCTGGCTGGCTGGCAGCCTGGAAGAGAGGAAAGGCCCATTCCACACTGGCATTTTGTTGCAAGTCTCATTTGTGTTTTTGTTGCTCAAGTCTCCTTAGTCTTAGTTTCGTTTAGTAGTTCATAGAAGATACTATTTGGCCCCAGAGCTCCTTTGTATTGTATCAGGATGTGTATCTCATTTGCATGTCTGGCAAGGAAAATAATGGTGCATTTAAAACCTGTTTCTGTACCTGAGATGCCTATGCTTATTTGGTTGTTGAACTGCAGAAATGAAAATGCTATCTATCTAAATGTTATTTATCTAAATAAGCATCACAGATGCATGGCAGAACACAGTAGCATTGATAAAGGCAAAATATTGTAGTCACAGGGCTGCAGTTTTATTATCTGGCTCTTGCTAATTGTTCCTCATTGTGAAGCTCAGTTTCAACATTTTGCAGAAAATGTAATAATAGATCCAATAAAACTTTCACTCTTTACATTTGATTACATTGGATTACATGTTGGGACTAGTAGGGAAAATGCTAATGAGAGTTCTGTCTGATTTGGGGGAGACTGAAGTATAAAACTGCCATTGTTTTATACATTATTTTATAGAGCGATGTAACAAACTCCTGCCTCAATAATCTCTCAGTGTGAACACTGACAGAGACAACAGAGAAAGGAAGATGGAAGAATATATGCAAATACAGTTACAAGTCTTTAGACCCGATTCTGTAGGGGAGAGAGCTAAGGCCTTATGGCAAAGGATTTGCAGGAAAGGTGGGTTTTGAGGAGGGATTCAAAGACAGAGAATGAGGTGATTCCATGCCTCATAGGTGTTCTGCGGAAGCAGGAAGTTAAAAGCAAATTCCCCCCTCTTCAAGCTGGCATAGTTTTCAGCATAGTGCCAAGCTGCATTTCTGCCACTGTGGAAGTGAGACAAGTAATATACAAGTCTGAGGTGACACAAATCATGGCTTTCCATCAGTATTTTTCCAGATCAAAAGCCACATCCTTTATTGAAGACTCAGACTGTACATTTAGTAGAGTGGCACAGTTATTTTAAACAACCGTCCCTCCCTCGTTGTATTTAATGTTGTGTAAGGAGATTTGCACGGTACAGATTATGTAAAACAGAGATTATGTAACAAAAGTGCTTCTGTAAATCTGTTCCCTGCAGAGGCTTGAGAATGGGTGGGTGAGAATGTTTCCTTGAGCGCAGTGTGACAAACCCAGTATGTATACAGTTGGGAGGTCAGATTAATGAGCAATATAAACTGTGTCCAAATAAGGAAGATTTAACTTCAGTGCTTTGCTAAAGTGCCAAACATTCCAGGATGTGGAAGATGCTAGTTTGGTTCGGCATAGCTATATATCTGCAAGACTGTGTTTAGCTTGTATAGCTGAAAAATGGCCGTACCCATTAGATACTGCTTGTTTTCCTAATTAGATCGAGTGCCAGCATTTGCTTGACAGGTGTTAGCCACGTGGCCATTGGCAAGTGTAGCATGCCCAGTCTCCTAGCCAACAGGAGATCGGTAGCGCACTGTAACTTTCTCATTTTCCTCTTCCTTTCTCATAAGCAAATTTCCTCTGTCTCTTCCATGTTTTGCTTTAGCCCTAGTGTATGGTGTATTATTAGGGACGTGGGTGGCGTTGTGGTCTAAATCACTGAGCCTCTTGGGCTTGCCAATCAGAAGGTCGGCGGTACAAATCCCTGTGATGGGTTGAACTTCTGTTGCTCTGTCCAGCTCCTGCCAACCAAGCAGTTCAAAAGCATACCAGTGCAAGTAGTTAAATAGGTGCTGCTGGAGCACTCTGCTTTCCGTCATGGTGTTCCGTTGCGCCAGAAGCAGTTTAGTCTTGCTGTCCACATGACCCAAAAAGCTGCCTGTGGACAAACACCAGCTCCCTCGGCCTGAAGTGAGGTGAGCACTGCATCCCATAGTCACCTTTAACTGGACTTAACCGTCCAGGGGGTTGTATAGATTATTATTATTATTATTATTATTATTATTTATACTAAGTTTCTCTCAGGGCCACGTTTACATGATATTTCATGGCAGGACCACATTGCTACACTAACCCCATAGAAACATTTGTGTTACAATTTTATTTCTTGCCAGTTTTAATCAGTGTTTTCTCTTAAGCTGATTTGTGGTTGTGCTCATGTTCCCGCACCATACGTCTCTATTTCTTAGCCCCCCCCTCACCCTCCCAAACTTTTTTTTCTCAGTCTGTACCACAATAAGTTTTGAGTGTGCTCCTGGGGTCCCAGGGCTTGGTGGTGGCCAGGAGTGTGTTTGTACCATTATGTCTCGTGCACCAGCGGCACCCTTGAGGTGCTGGATCTGGCCACAGAGAGGCATGCCTTTGTTGCATCCTGACTGGACTCCGGATACAAGCTCCACATGGGGCGGTCTTTGAAAAATGTTCAGAAGCTTCAGAGGTTCCAAAATGCTGCAGTCACACCCCTGACTGGGAGGGCTTGGCAATGTGTCAATACATCATCCAACACCAGTTTGTTTCAAAATAATTTAGCTGGCAATGTATTGCAAAGCACAGCCTTTAAAAAATCCAGGGGGCAGTGTAATTGTAAGCCTCTGGTGGCTGGCTGGCTGCCTTCCCTTTTGGCTCCCTTTCCCCTCTGATGGCAGAACAGTTCCATGCCCAGCCTTGGCGCCTCCCAATAACTGTGGTATCTCTACCCAGTGCAGGAATCGTAGCTGGCTGCTTCTTCCTTCTCTCTGTCTAGGGAGGAGCGGAAGGAGTTCGCTCTCTGAACGCAAGGGCTCGCCTTCCTTTGAGAGGAGGAATCCACAGTGCAGATAGCACATACCTATTAAGCTCCTTGACTGCTCCTTCGCCCAATCTCCCCCTCCCACCAGCATGAACGCCAAAGACAGCTCCTTTGTCTGATCTCTACCCCCCCCATAGTTCCATGTTTCAGACATCATGATATATCACTAAATCATGATGTTTAGCTAGTGATATATCATGTTGTTGAAAACAGATATCACTCAACCCTGGTTATGTCCTATAACACCCTATATGGCTTGGGATCACATATCCTGGGTGTTAAAATCTTTGGGTGAGCACCTTCTTGGATGCGGTGCATCAAAATGGGAGGCATGGTTGGTGGTGACATGTGGAATTTCCTCCCACAAGAGGTTAGACTGGCTCTCTCTTTGCTGTCCTTCTACCGGCAGGCTAAGGCTTTCCTATTCAAGTTACAGGTAGGTAGCCGTGTTAGTCTGCCGTAGTCAAAACAAAATAAAAAAAATCCTTCCAGATCTGAAGAAGTGTGCATTCACACGAAAGCTCATACCAATAACAAACTTATTTTTTTTATTTTGCTTTCCTATTCAGACAGGCCTTTGAAAACAATGCCGGCCACTGGGCTGCTGCCAGAGCAAACTGCACTTTAATGCTAGTTTTAAATGCATTTTTGGTGTATTTTAACTACTCCTTTTAACTAGTTTGTTTTTATTACTTTGTATTTTATAATTATGTGTTTGAATTTTGAATCTCAGTGTGGTAAGAATTTACCTCTACATCACCTGTTCTTGCCCAAGTGAGGGAACACTGTTAAATAAAGCATGGAACCAGGAGAAAAATAGCAAGCTTAGTAGTCCAGGGACCAAGTTTATTAACAAACCATCAATTAGGAAGGACTGTCCAGAAGAGATAGGTAAAAGGTAAAGGCAAAGGACCCCTGGATGGTTAATTCCAGTTGAAACCGACTATGGGGTTCGGCGTTCATCTCCGCTTTCAGGTTGAGGGAGCCAGCATTTGTCTGCAGACAGCTTTTTGGATCATGTGGCCAGCATGACTAAACCACTTCTGGTGCAACAGGACACCATGACGGAAGCCAGAGTGCATGGAAATGCTGTTTACCTTCCCACTGCTACGGTTCCTATTGATCTGCTCACATTGGTATGCTTTCAAAATTCGACTGGAGCTAACCGTACAAGGGTCCTTTACTTTTTTTTAACCTTTATATATAACACTGCACATAGAGCCATAAAACATCTTAAACATCCTTCTGCATATATCAATAAAGGTTACAATTCATGGGATGTATACATTCATGGCTCCATACTGATATCAACTTCCCACATTTACATTGGGGAGCCCCAAGCCATTTGGTCTCAACTATCACACTTTAACCTAGTTGCCTTGGCAACCAGACCTTCATTGAGAATGGAAGAGGGTCTCCCATCTCCTCTTTCTAGGCCTCAGATAGCTTCAAGGAGAAAAGCTGGTTGTCACCCAGATGCTAATCCAACAAATAACTTTCAGCAAAGCATCATTTGCCCCTCCAGGGTCAGATAAGGCAAGAAGGCTGGTATGCAGTGTTTACACAGAAATACACAGTTACAAAATGCAGGCACACAGGAATCATTCATTGATGCATTCTATCTAAAAGGTTAAATGCAATAAATATTGAAACCATTAAGCAATATCAAAATCTAGATCTAAGGCCGGATTGAATCACCAGTTTGGGAGAGAGGCAAGTTTATATAAATGCATAATAACAAACGTGTTAAATGACTCAGGACTGCAGATTCATCAGGTATTTAAGCTGGACCAGTTCACTCCTCCTGACCTTTGATATGTTCTATCTATAGAAAATGGTTCTATTTAAGCACATAAAGCTTATTAAGATAAGATAAACCAATCATAAAGATGCTTCTGTGTTAATGAAGAAATAACTAAGCAGTGTTGCACCTGGGGAAAATTATGCTAGCTAAACCTGGTTTGGAGCTAACCAAGACCATTGTCGGAACCAAAAGTCACAGGTGCATTCACATAATGGGAATTAATAGAGCATGAACATGTAGGGTCTCCTGATTTCTTGTCTATACCTGGTTTTACATCTGCATTGAGTCCACAGGCTTTCCCTAGCACTAAAATTTATTAAAACGGGTTCTTGATGCAATGCAAATAAAATAAAATAGATAGTGGGTCTTATCCCCTTGCCTGTGAATCTTTGTAAATGCAGTACATAGTAATTAGAGTGATAGCTGTAATTATGTTGTCAAGTATGCATTTTTCCCTTAGCAGCAATGAAATTGATATAATAGAAGCTATATTTTACAACATGAGGTGGGCACAGATTCTGTTTTGAGACACACCCAAGTGCATAGGGGTCATTCTGTTGCACATGTTGGGAAGCCTTTCCCATTGAAATGAGGGTCAGACCGTGCATATTTCCCCACCCAACCCCCACTCCTGATTTTAGTTGAATGGAAATATCACTATTTTTTCATTTTGTAATGTTTTTATGCATTACAGAGCCTTTCAGAAAAACTGTTACAATTCCTCCTAAGTTCCCCCACAATTCATGCTTCTATATATTTTGGAACGTGATTTTTCTGTCTGTCCTTTTTATCTTTTTTCTTTTTTTGTTTTCTATACGTTTGGATGCCTCTCAAGGTATTGGCACCAAACTTGGCATAAAGTTTCGGAGGGGGGGGCGTCCTTCGTTGAGGTTTGGACATCAGTCACCATTTTGAATCTTGCCTGTTAAGATATTGTCATGAAACTTGACATAAGGATTCCCAAGGTGGGCAACAATCTTCATTGCTTATTGAACACTTGGCACCATTTTGAATCAAGATGATAGACCAAAACATAGCTTTGTTGCTTGTGATTTTTTTGCACAGGTTTGGCCACTTCATGAGATGTTGTTGCCAAATTTCCTTCCTAATTTCACCATCTGCAATTAGGGCGGAGAATATTTGGGTGGGCCTTTTTGCTCATATCCTATAGAAAATGGTCTATTTGGGTTAAGACAGTGATAAAATGTTTGGTTAGAGATCTACCCCATCCCAAAATATAGTTAATATAGTGCAATGATGGAATGAATATTAAAACATGTTTATGTCTGTAATGTAGATGTTCTCTTTGGTTTTAGTCTAGTCCTAGGCAACAAGATTGGTTCCCAACAAGCATGAGATCTCTAGATGTGGAAATATGGTTTGGAGTAATGTTCATAGTGTGTATGCATTTCTTAGTTAGTAATTTTAGTTTGTATTGTATGTAAACATAGAACAGTGCTTAATGCTGGGTCCCAAAATAAAGCCCAGCTAGTTCAGTATTGTCATCGCTGATTGACAGTAGCTCTCTAGCACTTGCTAGTACTACCTGTGAATTCCAGGGATTGAGGCCAGGAACTTTTTGCATGCAAAGTGTGTGCTCTACCACATCTTTGCAAACTGGGAGCTCTGCTGAAAGGCAGTATATTCATCATTTAAATTAACAGATAAGATGCCACTGGGCTACAGTGCCCTTGAAAGTAGTTTGTAAACTAAAGTTAGTACAAAATATAGCAGCTAGATTACTAACTGGGCCAGGACATATAGAATGCACCTCACCAATTTTAAAACTATACTGTCTCCTCATTTGTTTCTTAGTCCAAATTTTGGTCTTAACCTTAAAATTCCTAAATGTCTTGGGAACAGACTACCTTAAGAGTAGAACCCATGAGTGGCTCTACAATTTCTAGACTAATTCCAGGAAGCCTGGAAGTCATGCCCTCTGACCTGGAAGTATTGTCCTCTGTTCAAAGTGTGTATGGATGCCAAGCTATTGTACTCAAAGCAGGTTTTAGCTCCAAATTCTGTTCGAATTGTGGCTCCCATTACATTCTGAACTTTCTGTAGTGTGTTTTCAGGAGTGAAGATTGAGACCTAATTCCAGAATCTGGCTGCATTAACTAGTTTAAAAATGTGGATTACTACATTGCTTTAAAATTGGGGGTGGGTGGATTTGCAATGTGGAATGATAAAGGCTGGTCACACACAAGCCTCTTTCACTGTCATATGAACATGGATGCAGACTGTATTCAAGTCTTTAATGGAAAATGCATGACAGACTCATCAGCTGTGCTGATAAGAAGCATGCTTTGCTCACAAGATGCTGAATGTGGTCTAATCCCTGTCTCTCTGTTTCCTTTCTTTGCTCATTGCCCTGCGTTTACAGTAACCTATTGAGAGCCTTGGAACTAGTTTAAAGGTCTCATGGGCAGCGCAGTGCTCCATGCTGTGGATGCTGCTGTGTTAGAACAAATGTTCCTTGGTCTTAGCCTTGTGGGTGGAATAATAAGCACATTAAACAACTGCAAGTGGAGGAACGGAGAGCATTTAGCCTAATGGCAAGAACATTGAAAGGGATAGGCTGAGAACTAGGAAGATGTATTGTTTGTGTTTTCCTTCAGGACTTGACTGTTGCAATATGCACTCTTGCAGAACGAAACACTCTTGATCAGGGGAACACAGAGCATCAGTGCTCCAGCATCTGTGCTGGCTCTCTCAGCATTCAAGGCAGCATCATTCAAAACTCTGGTTTTACTCTCTGAAGCTCTAAGTAGTTGGCAGAACCACAAGCAACTGGGTTTGTGCCCTGGAAAGGCCCCAGCTAGGGTGCCCAAGATATTTTAAACTTTAAATCCCTTCTTTTGAATTGATGCAAGGAATCCTACCATAAACAATTATATGGTTTATATTTTGTCCCCCTGGGTGAGAGCCCATGCTAGCTAGCCCTAGAACAATTCTTTTGTACAGCTTCCTTGCATGATAATCTGGATCACTAAGGCAGAGCTGGAGAGCATGGGCTATAGTGCAGGAAATTTGGTTTGGAATCCTCTTCTTCCAGCTTCCAGTTTAAGTAAAAAAAAAGCTATTTCAATTAGAAATATTTCCCAAAAAACATGTTCTTTGAGCAAATATTCACTTTTTCTAAGCATTGTAGCTTAGATAGGAAGACCGTGTTGAGTGTCTTGAGAGAGTATTCAGACAGGAGTGAACTGGAGGGCTGAGTTTGAGCAGGAGAAGTAGAAGCTGTGAGGATGAAGTCTCCTTGGGTCTCTTTCCAGTCAGGAGCGGGGAGATCTTCTAGAAAGAGAAGACTCCCAAGCCTGTTAGGAGGGGTGGGGGGGACCCCCTGGGTCTGTTATACTATTTGGAAATGCCTTAGGAGTGGGACTGTTAAGAAGTTGGGTAACTGACAAATAGTGGCTCTTGCTCATGAACAAAGTTTTAAGCTATGAAGGAAGCTGTGCTGTGTCAAAGTATTTAACTATAACACCTGTCATAACTACGTAAAGAAATGAGAGTGAATAACAGAAACTGAGTGAAGATTTTACCACCTATTCTATTTTTTTTATAAGATATTTATTAAGATTTTCAGAATATTACAAGACAAAAAAAGAAAAAAAAGAAAAAAGAAAAATACAAAATAAAAACAGTTAAAAACAATTCATTCCTTCCGTTACTTAGCCTTCATTTGCTTATTTCCAGGACCTCCTCACACCTCCCTTTTTTGTATTCCAATTCAGTTATTAGTTCAACAAATCCCTCCCCTCTTTATGTATCCTAATCGTTAATCATAAAGTATTTGTAATTTTAGATTTTTACCTATTAATAAACCATTTTTTTCCATATTCCCTTATAACATTTCAGCTAAAGACCACTTAGTTTCTATCCGACATCATTCTAACATTCATTAATTTTGCAATATTTCTGTAAATAGTCTTTAAACTTTTTCCAATCTTCTTCCATCGACTCTTCTCCCTGGTCTCGGATTCTGCCAGTCATTTCCACCAATTCCATATAGTCCATCACCTTCATCTGCCATTATTCCAAGGTGGGTAGATCTTGTGTCTTCCAATACTTAGCAATGAGAATTCTTGCTGCTGTAGTAGCATACATAAAAAAAGTTCTGTCCTTCTTTGACACCAATTGGCCGACTATGCCCAGGAGAAAGGCCTCTGGTTTCTTCAAGAAGGTATATTTAAATACCTTTTTCAATTCATTATATATCATCTCCCAGAAAGCCTTAATCCTTGGGCACGTCCACCAAAGGTGAAAGAATGTACTTTCATTTTCTTTACATTTCCAACATTTATTATCGGGCAAATGGTAGATTTTTGCAAGCTTGACTGGTGTCATGTACCACCTGTATATCATTTTCATAATATTCTCTCTTAAGGCATTACATGCCGTAAATTTCATACCTGTGGTCCACAACTGTTCCCAGTCAGCAAACATAATATTATGTCCAAGATCTTGTGCCCATTTAATCATAGCAGATTTCACCGTTTCATCCTGAGTATTCCATTTCAACAGCAAGTTATACATTTTTGACAAAATCTTAGTTTTGGGTTCTAACAGTTCTGTTTCCAATTTTGATTTTTCCACCTGGAAACCAATTTTCTTATCCAAATTGTATGCCTCCATTATCTGATAATAATGAAGCCAGTCTCGCACTTTGTCTTTTAATTTCTCAAAACTCTGCAATTTCAGTTTGTCTCCTTCCTGTTCCAAAATTTCCCAATATTTCGGCCATTTGGCCTCCATATTGAGCCTTTTCTGAGCCTTTGCTTCCATCGGTGACAACCACCTTGGGGTTTTGTTTTCAAGTAAGTCCTTATATCTTATCCAGACATTTAACAATGCTTTCCTGACAATATGATTTTTAAATGCTTTATGTGCTTTAACCTTGTCATACCACAAATATGCATGCCACCCAAAAACATTATTAAAACCTTCTAAGTCCAAAATGTCTGTGTTCTCAAGAAGCAGCCATTCTTTCAACCAGCAGAATGCTGCTGATTCATAATAAAGTTTAAGGTCTGGCAGGGCAAATCCACCTCTATCCTTTGCATCGGTTAATATTTTAAAATTTATTCTGGGCTTCTTGCCCTGCCAGACAAATCTAGAAATGTCTCTCTGCCACTTCTTGAAACAGTCCATCTTGTCTAAGATTTGCAATGATTGAAACAGAAATAACATTCTTGGCAATACATTCATCTTTATAACAGCAATTTGTCCTAACAAGGAAAGCTTCAGGTTTGACCATATCTCTAAATCCTTTTTCACTTCTGACCAGCATTTCTCATAATTGTCTTTAAATAGGTTTAAATTCTTAGCAGTCATATTAACCCCCAAGTATTTTACTTTCTTAACCAATGTTAAACCTGTCTCCTTCTGAAACCTCTCTTTCTCAATCGGTGTTAAATTTTTCTCAAGCACCTTAGTTTTTAACTTGTTCAACTTAAATCCTGCCACATGACCAAATTCCTGAATCAATTCTAATACTCTTTTAGTACTAGATTCTGGCTCCTGTAACATCAATACTAAATCATCTGCAAAAGCTTTCAATTTGTACTGTTTAGCTCCAACCTGTATACCTTTAATCAGACGGTCCCTTCTGATCATATTTAGCGAAACCTCCAGGACCGAAATAAACAGCAATGGGGAAATTGGAATTTAACACCTATTCTAGAAACCTGAACATCTACCTGAAGCATAACAACTGATTTGCTGTGCATTTACTACTTTGTTTTAATGCCTGTGACATCTTTAGAATTATTGTAATTAATAAGTTACCTGTTTCCTGAAAGAACACAACTCATTGACCCATCTTTGTTTTATCAACTTTGTTTTGTAAATAAAACCTTTCTTATTCATTCAGCTTCTGCGTAAGACTCCAGATCTTCCCTCACACAAGAACCCAAAATGATAACCTGTGGGAATTTATAAATGTAATTATTTCGCGTACCGTGCTGTAGGTTCACTACAGGTTTAATTGGGGGCCATTAGCGGTGAGATCTGCTACATTTAATTGGACTTAGCAGTAGGTCCGTTACACCTTGATTCAGGGAACAGCACAACTCCGTAAAAAGTTGAAGGCAGTTTTAAACACAAAATATAAATGAATTTTAATATAGTTTAGAATAAACACCAGAGACACAGGGAGTTTGAAGTAAAAAAAATTCAGTCCTTATAACCCCAGAGGTAAGTTTGGCAGGGTATAGTCTGGTGAATTAGTTATTGGTATGAGCACACAAGCTCATACCAATAACTAACTTAGTTCGTCTCTAAGGTTCTACTGCAAGGAATTTTTTTAATTTTTTTTTATTTATTTTATTTTGTTTCGACTTCAATATATAGTTGCGCAGCACCCCAGTCTCCAAGCTGTGTGGGATTCCAAGGGTTCCAGGTACTTGCCCAGGGTCCGCGTTTGCTTTTGGAAATAAGGCACGGCAGAGACTGTGGTGTCTTTATGATATATGTTTTATTCACACGTATATACAACCTGAGCATACAGTGGAGGGGCTCACATTGCTGCAGCCTTGGATTCAAATAGTCGGCCCACATTGTGCTTGCCTGGCACCCAGGAATTAGAAAGGGTGTCCAGGAATTAGAAGCAGGCTCCAGGCTCCCCACAGACTTGTAACGATATCATATGCCCTTTGCCCTTCTACCTGTTATTTGTCAAGCTTTCTGTGATTTTTATCTTTTTCTTGCAAGAGTCAAAAGCATTGCCTGTCAGAACTTTGAAGCTGCAAAGGGGCTTGTGATTTCATAACTGGCGTTCCGAAATAAACACTCTAGAAAAACCTCCTGAGATAAACATTTTCTCTTTGGCCCTGAAAGAAGTATTGAGCAAGTATGGCTAATGCTGGGGATAAGTGCTAAGAGCAAGAGGGGGGAAAGATACTATAGAACACACAATCACATCAGGGTTTCCCCCCTTTCTCCCATGGAAGGGGGGGGGAGAGAAAACACAAATAGAACATGAATGGGACAAAGTCTTTGAAGTCCTCTACTCAGGCTTTTCTGATTCCTTAAGAAACATCAAAGAAATCCTTCCACTGCCACCCCACTTAACCTTTTGGGGATTGTGACCCCACAGCCAGCACTCAGTGTCTTGTGGCTTTTCAGCTGATGCTTTCAGCTCCGTTGTTCTACTGCAAAAGGTCAGAGAATCAGAGAGAATATCAAGAGACATATCAGTGTATTTGAGGGCAGTTTTCTTTTTTCTTTTTGTTTCTCCTTTGTGTACTATAAAGGGTAATCCTTGAGAACTTAGATGAAATGCTGAAGGACAGCCCATGCTTGTTCTTGTGGTGTTGAAGGGAAGAAATATCCGTGATATTTAGGCAAGCATATAAGCTAAATTGTGTGTGTGTTTACATGAACTGAATTCTGACATTGTAAATTTAGTTACTTTACAAGTACAGGCAGTGAGCATTTTAGGCATGTCCACTTGATCTCTGGTCACTGATGTGTGGGTCCTTTTGGATCTGGAAGAGGGTGGGACGGGGTTGGGCACACTTATACGCCCTCTGCTTATATGCGGGGATTGGGAATGGAACCCGCCTATATTGTTTTTCTTTCGAAAAGGTACCACCCAAGTCTACTTCAGAAGTGATCCATAGTAATTGGATTAATTTGTTTGACATCTGCTGAATATCTGAATATTAGTCTGAGCTATAGGTTGGGCCTTGGTGTATGTTGGTAACTTAATTGCCAGATGCCAGAACCCAGTGAGCTGTGTGGTGTTCCTCAAAGTTACATGCCAGTTTTAGTTGATTAATCTATTAATTGTGTTTGCAAACCTTAATTGGTTTAATTAAAACTAGTTGAGCTTTTTCAATATCTGTGGTAACCTTGGGAAAGGAGCAGGGGAGAGAATGTCAGTCCTGACTCCATATAAAGGTAAAGGTAAAGGGACCCCTGACCATTAGGTCCAGTCGTGGCTGATTCTGGGGTTGCGGCGCTCATCTCACTTTATTGGCCAGGTCATGTGGCCAGCAGACAAACCAGAGCAGCGCACAGAAACGCCGTTTACCTTCCTGCCGGGGCGGTGCCTATTTATCTACTTGCACTTTGGTGTGCTTTCGAACTGCTAGGTTGGCAGGAGCAGGGGCCAAGCAACGGGAGCTCACTCCGCCGCGGGGATTCGAACCACCGACCTTCTGATCGGCAAGTCCTAGGCTCTGTGGTTTAACCCACAGCGCCACCCGCGTCCCTGACTTCATATAAACCCATCCCTAAATTCTCATATTTTTCAGTAGTGATTATTTTGTGCCAGATCCAAAACTTTGAAGCTTTGATGGTTCTGCTCTGGGTATGGAATGCATCACAACAGTGGTATGAATATGTAGTCCCTGCTTTCTGTGATCTTTTGTAGGTATCTGGTGTACCTGAACTATTCAGTTAAAGTATATTATTGGTAGTTCTTAAATATATATATATAGCTTTATTTTAGTAAATAAAGTGGAGGAATTTGCTGCACCATTGTCTATACGAGTGTTAGAAGCTCAGAGATATAAGCTACATGCCAGATGACTCCTTCAACCAGGTTGCAGTCACCAAAACGGAATGTCTAGTACTCTTTAGAATACCAAGTTCACATTTTATTAGAGCTATTTGATGTGTTCAGAATTTGGGCTTATCTCATTCAATATTATTACTCCTCTTCTGTCTGTATTTAATATTCACATGGTAGATAGATTGCATGAGTTGACTGCCATAAGCACACATCAGCAGCATGGTTGCAATGAACCAAGTGAGGGAATTCATGGGGCCAAATATCCTGACAGCCGGTTCACATGGTTGGTTCACCACAAGCATGAACAGGTGAAATGAATCTTCATAAATTGATCATGAAGCTTTATTTATGCATAAGTGAATTAGGCCTAATCCCTAACAAGTCACATAGTCAGTGAGTATCAGATCTAGTGGTAGCCACTAGTGGTTGCAAAGTTAAGCAATTTCAACATCACCAGGATTGTCTATTTTACTATGTAAATAATAATACACAGCATTTATATGTGCTTTTGGTGCTTAACATATGCTAGATTAGTAATCCTAACAACATGCTGTGAGATGTCAGAATTCTTATCCCCTTGTTGGAGATGGACAGTGAGACTGAGAGAATACTGATTTCTTGTAGGTTGGGGGTGGGAATCCTGTATATTTCCAGATGTTGTTGGACTACAACTCCCATCTCTCAGACCTTTCAAAACAAGCAATCAGCCAAGGCTGGCAATATTTCTTTGTGCTCTGTGCTGCTGTCCAGGGTCCTGATTGCTTTGCTATCTCATCATTTCAAAGTCCCTGTGCTGACCCAGAAGAAATAGACTTAATTGGGTGGGAAGCAGCCATTGACACAATTTTTGTGTGTGCAAGTCAGCTGTTGCATCAGTTGTGTGTGAAGGCACAGCGTGGTGGTCCCTTGTAGGAGAAGCAACCATGGGAAATGCAACAGTCCCTTACAGGCCCTCTAACCACTTAAAAGTGAATTGTGAGTTGTCTTTGTTTACAGCAGACATGTTTCCCTTAAACTGAAGCTGAAGCAAACTGCTGTTCTTCCCACTTTTATTCATTTTTGCATATCTGCTGATTGCCTTAGATATTACCTATTCACAATGCAATTTTTTTTTAGCTTAGCTTGGTAAATATGAATACCTTTTCTTTCTGGAAGAGAGAGAAATGCATTATGCTCAATCATAGCCCCATTGCTTTAGGTCAAAAATGTATTCACCATCTGCTATGTAATAACATAGAGCAGTGCTTTTAATCTCTGTTATTTAAATAGGTCCTGTTATTTAAATAGGTCTAATAGAACAGGCTATTTTGACAGAAGCAGATTGTCAAATAGGCAATCAAGATGCCTCTGCTGTAATTCCTCTGCCACAGTTAGAACCATGTTTTCCTCTTATTTATTGATTACACTTGTCAATATCCTTCCAGGATACAACTCCTCCTAAGACTGCTTCTAACAACAGGAGCAGGAAAACACTTGCAGAGAGTCAATGGGCCTTTCCCAGCCCACATATTCTTCCTTGCAGAGATCCCCAAGTCATTCTGGACTCTCTCTTCTGGAGAACCAGCCTCTGCAACTGGAAGAACCTGGGGGGGGGGTGAGGATTTGCAAGGTCAGCATGTCTAGGAGGAATGAAGCACCCAGCCCCTGCAAACCCCATCGTGGCATTTGCCTTAGCTCTCACTTTGCTTCTAGTTATCCTAAATATATTCATTTGTGAACTGAAGACATATTTTCTGTTAAAACTTCTTGTAGATACAGTTGTTAAATGCTGTGTATAACTCGCAGATTCTGCTTTAAATGATGAACAATGTCCTCTTTTTCCTTTCTTTTCAGTATTCAGAGGCCAAAAAGCAGTGCTGGTACTTTGAAGGGGTGTATCCTACATATTATATGTAAGTGATCCTCCTTTTCTCTCTGTGTTCATCTGTAGATGTGTGTGTCTGTGTGTTTACAATGTTGGGAGATCGATTTAAGCCATGGGTAGGCAAACTAAGGCCTGGGGGCTGGATCCGGCCCAATCACCTTCTAAATCCGGCCTGAGGATGGTCCAGGAATCAGCGTGTTTTTACATGGGTAGAATGTGGCATTTTATTTAATATGCATCTCTGGGTTATTTGTGGGGCCTGCCTGGTGTTTTTACATGAATAGAATGTGTGCTTTTATTTAAAATGCATCTCTTGTGGGGCATAGGAAGTCGTTCAAATTTTTTTTTCCAAAATATAGTCTGGCCCCCCACAAGGTCTGAGGGACAGTGTACCGGCCCCCTGCTGAAAAAGTTTGCTGACCCCTGTTAAGCTCTTTATATCAGCACTTATTCTAGAGCAGTCATTCCCAATTAGCTAATTACTGAGGACCCCCTACTTTTGATATTTTTGATAACTGTATGGTAGTTACCTGTGCAAAGCAATTTTTTGAAGAAAATGTGGGGTGGCCCCTAAGAAGCAAAGGTATACTAAAAAAAAAACAGCCAGACCATAAAATTTGTGATATTACCACAAATTGCCTATCCCCAGCCAGGAGGAAAACACTGTCTCCATTGCTCCATACAACTGAATAATAAAAAAGCAATTGTGTCCCTAACTTGCAAGTGTTCTATATGCAGAAGACTTTTTATATGAGAGTGTTCAAACATGCTATTTCTTATTTGTAATCTGAGAAGGTACATTTTAGCAAAACTTTGCAGAAGGTTCTGCTAACTGAAGAATCTTGCACCATGAAGACATAGGTGAAGGCTTGGTCAGGGCTTGATAAAGTATTGGTGAAGACTGAGTAGAAAACAGCTGGGATTTCATCATGTTGGTAGTAGTAGTAGTAGTAGTAGTAGTAATTTTTATTATTTAGTCCTCCTGTGCCCAAGTTTCATCCCTGGCTTAAAGAGATTAATTAGTTTTTATTCTTGCTGATTACCCAATCAGAACAACCAATTTTTGAATTTATTAGGATTCTGCCATACATATGTTTCCTCCCATCCCAAAATGTAGCCACATACCTGTAGCTTCCCACAGAAAACAAGAAAACAACATCTGCACAGGCTGCCCTTTGCACTAAATGGGCCTGGGCTGTGTATTGTAAGTAAGCATGCATGCCATCCATAAACTAGGTCAAATCCTTCAAGATCCAAAATAGTTGGATTTTTCAGCTCCACCCAGCACAAACACGCTGCCTCATAATACATTTTCAAATCTGGAAGAGCAAACCCTCCTCTACTCTTTGCATCAATTAGAATTTTACATTTAATCTGGGGCTTTTTCCCTTGCCAGATGAAGTCAGTTATAGCCTTTCTCCATTGCTGGAAGCAATCAGTACCATTTATCACAGGTAGTGCTTGAAACAAAAATATAATCTTTGGTAAAATATTCATTTTGATTGCCAATATTCTTCATCCAGTTCCATAATTCGGTATTATTTTACTGTAAATATCGTGAAAAAAGTTCAAATTTCTAGGCACCAGCCAAAGTCCCAAATATTTGACTTTCTTTTCTGCTTTAAATCCAGAAATCTTTTCCAAATTTTATTTTGCCTACTTCCCCAGATTTTTAATTATCATTTTGGTATTTTCTTTATTGATGTACAAACCAGCCAGGCTGCCAAACACTTCTGGGCCTCCAGGACCTTGGGAACACTTTCAAGAGGCGATCTGGTCTTGTTCTGTTGTGTTAGCATCTAATCTATAAACATTGGGTGAATGAGCTGTCATAATGAAGATTTTCCTTTCGCTTTTGTGCTTCTGTTGTCTAACCAGTGACATATTGAGATCTGATATTCTCCAACTCATTAAACACATTGTATGCTTGGTCATTGTTCAAAGCCTGTTACTGTATACAAAGAGAAACGAGGTGTTCTTAACATGTTTTTTTTCCCTGCAAGTCCATGTGGGAGAGGGAGACCTCCCAAGCCTCTGTAGTCCTAATACATCTTTTCTTGGCTTTGTATTATTTGATTTATGTTCATACTCGAATAGTATCTGCAGGTTTCTTTGTGTTGCTTTCTGAGAACTCTGTATTCCATGAACAGATGCTTTTTAAACTAGCCTAGTGTCAGGGACTCTGGGGCTTGAACTGGCAGCTTATGAACAGGCTGGGATCCAGTCTAGTGTGGCACTGTGTCCTAAGGCTTCAGAGCTCACATCAGGAACAGAAGGGGTTCCTGTGGTTGAAAGAAAATACTAAACTTCTGGATTGACCATAGCCTGATTATACTTGCATACAGAACCAGATCTTTGTGTGCATTTGTTTGTTTATTTTCTGGAATAATATCCCTGCAATGCTCACACAGTAATATGGTTTAAACATTGCTGAAACATTCATTGTTCTCCATCTGTTCCAGTTATTTGTAGGACTAGAACGTCTTAATGCCATTCCACAAATTGTGTGGCAGTGCACCAGCATTCACAATGAGGAATTTGCTCATGGCAAGGAGCTGCAGCCAATGTTGGCTTTCAAATTTGTGTACCTGTATGATACATGTCTTTCTAAACGTGCTTCTTTTGTACCATATATGCTTACAGTGTGAATAAGGCCTCTGCATCTGACTTTAAGTGATGTAAATTGGTCTTGCAAAACACTTCATAACAACAGGTCAGACCTTAATTCTTAGCACTCTCTTCCCACAAATTAAAATACATTTGAACTCACTACTAAAGTTGCTCTTGAACATTGTAGTAGAAAGGTAGGATAGAAATGTGAAAAATAAAGTACTCATTCAAAGAAATATTTTATTTCAGATATAACTTTTGGATTTCTTTTCCTGCTCAGCATTATTTTGTTTTTCTCCTGAGTCCTCAGGATGACACCACTTCAGTCCTGCCCAGCTTTCCTTTTTACTTACCGTGTTTTCTTTCCTGTTTCTTTGATTTCCCGCCAAAGAAAGTGTTGCTTATGTTAATCTCTTCTTTTACTGCATTTGATTCATGGACATTTCCTAGCTGCCTTCAATCCTGTTAAAAGGCAGGATATGTTAAACAACCAGCATTGAAGTTTCTTTTTACTTTGACTCCTGGTGAAGAGCTTTGTGAAAATGGGTCCAGTGATCTGTCAGCCATGACTGAGTTCAGCCATCTTTAAATTGTGTGGATTTCCAGTTTTATTTGCTGTTTGGCAGTATATCAAATTAAATAAGGTTTTTCATGCAGGCATTTTGTGACTAGCTGGTATAGTCATTTATAGTAAAGTCTGTTAATATACATTACAATATACAACTGAATTTTTGCATATTATTAACATTTATCTGATTTTGTAATTATTTCCATTAGTTGTTGTTTCTGGTGTTTTTCACCTTTCAGAGTCTATACCTCTTCATTTTTCTTTTGATTGACCTGTATTCACATACAAGTATCTGCTTGATGTTGCAATCGTGTGTGAGAATCACCCCAGAGTTACCTCCTGTTTTAGAAACTACGTATAGGAAATTAATTCAAAGCTGTGGGTGTGTTTCTTTTTATCTCCTGGAGAATCCCAAGTGGAACACCATGAATATGATTGAAATAAAAATCAGTTGCATCCAGAGCTGAGGACTTCTCTGTATTAGTGACTACAATTGTAGGGCATTAGCAATGTTGGCGTCTTTACAGGCGCAAATTAGCATTGCTATCAAGTCTCAAGGGAGCATCCCAGCCCAGCTGTGTCTTGTGCAACCATAGCAACACGGTACAGCTACGGTACAGCCTCCAGATGTATAATGTCACAAATGACATTCTTAGATCTCTCTGCATTGGAATTGTTGCATCTTCTACGTCTGTTCTTCAGCTAATGTGTTGACAGCTAAAACCATGAGGCTTGACAGAATCTTAGCCCACTGAGGTTTTCCTTTCCTGTCAATGCCGTATTCTGCCAGGCTGCTTCTTTGCTTTGCAGTCACCAAATTTCCTCTTCTTTTTATTTTTATGCAGATGCCGCTCCTATGAAGATTGCTGTGGTTCAAGATGCTGCATAAGGACTTTGTCTATCCAGCGACTATGGTATTTTTGGTAAGGCAGTGATAACTATTGATAAGTTTAGGGTTGCATCTTCTAATTGGATTCTCTAAGGCATGGGTAGGCAAACTAAGGCCCGGGGGCCAGATCCGGCCCAATCACCTTCTAAATCCAGCCTGCAGACGGTCTGGGAATCAGCGTGTTTTTACATGAGTAGAATGTGTCCTTTTATTTAAAATGCATCTCTGGGTTATTTGTGGGCATAGGAATTCATTCTCCCCCCCAAAAAAAAATATTGTTTGGCCCCCCAGAAGGTTTGAGGGACAGCTGAAAAAGTTTGCTGACCCCTGCTCTAAGGCTATATCTACACTACAAATTTATATCAGTTTTAATTTGAATGTAACAATAATTGGGTTCCCCTTGAGAATCCTGGGAACTGAGTTCAGGGCAAGTGTGGTGGGTCTCTCTGCTGGAGATCCTCAGCAATTACTTTTATCTATAAGCTGCCTTGTGTCCCTGTCAGGGGGAAAGCAATGTATAAACTAACTAACTAACTAATTACCGTATTTTTCGCCCTATAGGATGCACTTTTTCCCCTCCAAAAATAAGGGGAAATCTGTGTGCGTCCTATGGGGCGAATGCAGGCTTTCGCTGAAGCCTGGAGAGCGAGAGGGGTTGGTGAGCACCGACCCCTCTTGCTCTCCAGGCTTCAGGAAGCTATCCGCAAGTCTTGCAAGCCCGGCGGGATGTCCCGCAGGCTCGCAAGGCTTGCGGGCAGCAGCCTGCAGCCCAAAGCTCGGGGATAGCGGGGAGGCGGAGCGCTGCCACCCCACTATTCCCCGACCTGATCTGGAGGCTGCGTGGGGGGGGGAGAAACAAGCTTGCTTCTCCGCCCGCCAGCCCCACAAACTTGGGGGACAGCGGGGCAAGCTGTCCCTGAAGGCAGAAGAGGGAGACGGAGCGCTCCGTCTCCCTCTTCTAGCTTGGGGATGGCTGCGCAAACCTGGGGGGGAAATAAAAATTTTCCCCTTGATTTCCCCCCCAAAAAACTAGGTGCGTCCTATGGGCCGGTGCGTCCTATAGGGCGAAAAATACGGTTACTACTACTACCACTACTGCTAGTAATAAAAATAACACTTGATGAGGGAAAGTATCATAGAATGAATAGACTGATTTATTATTTGAACATATCATGCACAGGGATGTTTTTGCCAGTAGTGAAGGCAGTCACAGCTAGACAGGAAATAATTAATCTTTTCCTCCCCAGCTGTGGCTCCACACCACCCATTACCTAAAGTAGGTGATCTAAGGTTTCTTTCAGACCCATGTGATCTAGGGGTGTTTTTGATGTCAATGATCATCATGGGTGGGTGGGGAGTTACCTTTCTCTCTCCCCAGGTGTGACCCCCCCCAAAAAACACACTCCCTATTCTTCAGGTAGCCTTGAAAAAAGGGCTTCTGTTGGCCACAAAATATTTCTGTGCCCAATTCGGGGTGCTCACATCAGTGTTTAAAGCCCTACATAGACTGCTTGCTTCCCTACAGACCCTATTGGGAGTCAAGCTTGGCAGAGAGGGACCTCTTTATAGTTCTGCCCCCCCAAGAAGTTGCGGGAGGGCCTTCTCTGTGGTAGTCCCTAGGTGGTGGAAGACCCCTCCCCGCGGAGATGCATCTATCAACTCCACTATACCATTTTCAGTGAATGCCGAAGATGCCCCTCTTTACCCTTTGACACATGAGAGGTATATTTTTTAGGACCCACCTTCTTTCTGTGATTGTAAGTTGATTTAGTTTGTTTTTAATGCTGTGTGTTCATTACCATAATCTACCCTGAGACTTTAGGATGGGGGGTGGGTAATAATAATAATAATAATAAGTAATAATAAAAAATAATAAAAAACAAAAAACTTGGATCTGCAATTAACTACTGAGTAAATGTTTAGGGTTTTTACAAATTGTGCAAACTCTGGTTAAATTTGTTCCTTCTCTCCTTCCCCTTTGATCAGGTTCCTTCTGATGATGGGAGTTTTGTTCTGTTGTGGGGCGGGGTTTTTTATCCGAAGGCGGATGTATCCTCCACCGCTGGTTGATGAAACAACATACAACGTGTCGTATACCCGGCCACCTAACCCCTCTGCAGCAGGTCAGAAATTGCATCCTGCTACTAGTACTGCTATGTGAGACAATAATTATTGGCCACAGACTACTGTTGTGATTGATCTGAGGATAATATAACCAGACGCTTAGCATGCAAGCATTTATCTAGGCAGACCAGTGAGTAACTTATTCTATAGCCATTGCTGAATGCTGAAAACCAGGAAGTCGCCCGTATGTGTTTGGCCAAGTGATCACTTAAAACCGCATTATACTTTATAATTCTCTCCTGCTGGTTTTTCTCTTTCCCTGTGCCTGCTGCTTCCTGTGGCAGGAAATATGGAAGAGAACAGCAAGTACTGAACTGTTCCTATGTAACAATTAGAACGAATAGAAAATATTAAGTGGCCCCTTACTGCTGGATGACGTTAAATTTTGAAAATGATAGAAATGAATTGCATCAGGAGAAAAGATGTACAAGTTCCCCACGCCATCTTTGGCTTGAGTGATCCAGGGTGGGGGGTTTCAAGAATGCCCTCCAAGTATAGGACTGGGAAGGTGAATAGCAAGCTTAGTATTTGCACTGGGGTAGGGAGGGGGAAGCTCTGTGGGTTTACTGTGGGGGAATATCAAGGGGGTTAGAGAGTGGAGTAAGCAGGGGTGCACCCATTTTTTTTGTGTGTACATATAATACATATGTATGATAGATAAAGAAAGGGATTTCTTTGAAGTGAACAAGTTGGTGCCTGTTGGTGCCTTGAAAATCAGCTGTGACTCCTTTCAAATATTGACAACACAGACCAATGCCCGGCATTACTCTTTTGTGTCTCCCACTTTTAGGAGCCCAGCAGCCGGGGATGGCATACTACACAGACCCAGAAGGAGCTATGATGAACCCCATGGCTATGACTTACCACGTCCAACCTAAGTCCCCACAAGTGAACCCAGTTTACCCTCCTCTCCCTTCTTACTGTAATACCCCACCACCACCATACGAGCAGGCGGTGAAATCCTCCACTTAACCTCTCTTCTCTGCAGTGAACAGTGACTTGGGCAGAAGAGAGCAGGCTTGGGAGCAGCAGAAGACTTGCTAGTGCTCTGTTGACCTTGCTCTCCTCCTAGTTAGCACTGTTTGGACACTGGTGGATGTGCAGCCCCAGGGGGAATTCTTTTCTGATGTCTTCAAAGCAAGAATGAAAGTTTTTATAGTGCTTTTTATTGGAAGCCTATATTTAAATCCCATACACTTAAAAAAATGGTATTTGTGATTTTAAGACATGTATTAACATATTGATGCAGCACAGTATGGTAATAAGCACAAAACAATGTATACCAGCCTAAAAACCTTGGAGTCACTTGTATTTTAAATATGGGAAACCAGGAGCACAGGACAGGAGGTAATGGCAGAAGCAAGTGAAAGATGTGAGATGAGTGATGTTTGTTAATCAAGGAAGCGACTGGATCATGTGGTAAGATAAAGTGTGGGAAATGGTTCCAGGGCGGGAAAAGATCCATCGCCCAGCTTCACTTGAACAAACACTGGGTGGAACAGGATTATAGCAGCTCTGCCTGTGGTCCAACCCTAGCATCTTAAATCTGGCTCCCTTTATTTTTTGCTGACAGTTGTTTTTGGGAGGAAAGGAGTGTCTTGCTGCCAAGAGCTAACATTGTGATGTACTGTTGATGGTGTGAATATCATAGCAATTGTGTGGAAGGTAAAAATGTTCAGCGCCAACAATGATAAGCAGAGGTCTAGCAACAAAAAAACTGATTGCCTAGGAAATATTTATTCTCTAAAGAGAATTCATAAAATAAAATGGGTAGTCTTTGAATCAGAGTTTTCCTATTGACTTTGGGCCCCTTTGCATGACATTATTTAGGCGTACACTGAAGATATTCATTGTATGCATTGTATGGGACAAATACACTCAGCAGAGCTCCAGGATTGGTTGCAGTAGCCTGCTGAGTATACACTTGATGGTTTTGCCTTTCTTTGTGTGATGTGTCAGATGACCCAGAGGTAATATTTGGATGTTTAGTATTCCTTCTCCGCATTCCTCTGGGGCCTGAGTCTTTCATTTTTAACATGGTAAAGTTGCTTCAAGGTGACTTTTACTCATTGTTTTTGATGTGGTGGCTGATTTATTCAAAATGAACTTCATAGGAGATGTAAGAGTTACCAAATACTAGGGAATGATTGCAGTTTTCCAGAAATATGATGAAGAAATGATGTAGAAATTTAAGACCACTAGAAAACAACAGATTCATTCCATATCATGGTGAGTTTATTATTTTTTTTTAAAAAAGAATACTGGAATCTTCCATAGTTTCTGCTTGCGATAAATGTCCTTCATTTGTCTTCCATTGTTATGCCTTTCTGGGTTCCACCTGCACTTGCTTCTCAGTCTCTTGGTCTGTTGTAATTGCAGAGCAGATGAGACCTTGCTTAGGGTGGCCAGGCTGCAGATTTCCCCATTGCTTTGTTTCTGCTCCTGAACTGGGAGGCCAGGCAGTGGCCGTTTCTCCCATATACGCCACCCACTTTCCCTTTGTTCACTCTCCTCCTTCACCTGCTGTATCAACCAGGCCCCTCAGGCGACACACCAAAGTATCGGGCAGAGACCCCAGGTGTAGGCACATGCCACAACAATGTACCCCAGTCTTCAGTTTAAGGGAAAGTGGGAATCAGTATGCAATTATGTTTAAGGGACTTGAGAGGTGGGCTTTTCTCTGTCTTAGAAAAATGTCTTACAGTTATTATTGAATGTGATCATAGAATCGTAGAGTTGGAAGTTGCTACAAGGGTCATCTAGTCCTACCTCCTGCAATGCAAGAATTTTTTGCCCAACATGGGGCTCAAATCCACAACCCTGAGATTAAGAGTCTCATACTCTTCTGACTGAGCTATAATGGGCAATATTATGAAAGCAATATTTTAAAAAAACTTTGGTTTTAATATACTCAGAACCTTGAATGAGTTCTAGTGTTGTGCAGTAATCAAACAAATACATTTTGAAGAAATGTCTCACTGACAATTTCTTTTCCCAGAAGGTGGAAGAAGCAACAAGGGGGTCATCTATTTTGGACCTGGTCCTCACCAGCAGGGAGGAACTGATCAACAAAGTGGAAGCACTTGTGAACTTGGGAGGAAGTGATCATGTCCTCCTGTGTTTCATGATACAAAGGCAAGGGAAAACTGAGTGTAGTTGGACACACACTCTGGACTTTAAGAAGGCCAATTTCGAAAAGCTGAAGGAGCTCCAGGGTTTGATCACATGGTCAGAAATGCTCAAAGGGAAAGGAGTCCAAGTGGGATAGGAGTTCTTGTCATCCTGAAAAAAACTGACAAGTGGGGTGCCGCAGGGTTCTGTCCTGGCCCTGTTGTTGTTCAGTGTCTTCGTAAATGACTTGGATGAAGGAACTGAGGGGATGCTCATCAAATTTCCAGATGACACCAAATTGGGAGGGGTAGCTAATGCCACAGAAGACAGAATCGGGATTCAGAATAACCTTAACAGCTTGGAGAACTGGACCCAAACTAACAAAATGAATTTCAATAGGTTCTGCACTTAGGCAGGAAGTACCAGATGCACAAATATAAGATGGGGACACCTGGGTTACTAGCAGTTCATGTGAAAAGGGTCTAGGTGGACCACAAGCTTAATATGAGTCAACAGTGTGATGCAGCAGCAGCAGCAGCAGCCAACCCCCCCCCCCCCAACTAGTGCTATTTTCAGATGCATCAACAGAAATGTAGTGTCTAGATCAAGAGAAGTAATGGTACCACTCCATTCTGCCTTGGTCAGATCACACTTGGAATACTGTGTCCAGTTCTGGGCGCCACAATTTAAGGAGGATGTTGACAAGCTGGAAGGTGTGCAGAGAAGGGCAGCCAAGATGATCAAGGGTCTGGAAACCAAGCCTTATGAGGAATGGTTGAAGGAGCTGGGTATTTGTAGCCTGAAAAAGAGAAAGCTGAGAGGAGATATGATAGCCATCTTCATATGTCTTAAGGGCTGTCACGTGGATGATGGAGCAAGCTTGTTTTCTCCTGCTCTGGAGGGTAGGACTCGAACCAATGGCCTCAAGTTACTAGAAATAAGATTCTGACAGTAATCTCATTTCTGACAGTAAGAGCTGTTTGACTGTGGGATGGACTCCCTCAAGAGGTTGTGACTCTCCTTCCTTGGAGGTTTTTAAGCAGAGGTTGGATGGCCATCTGACATGGATGCTTTAGTTGAGATTCCTGCATTGCAGGGGGTTGGACTAGATGACCCTTTGGATCCATTCCAACTCTCTGGTTCTATGAAATTAAAGATTTTTAACAGATTAGATTCTTAGATGTATACCTAGGCTATTTAAGTGTGTACCTACAAATCTAGAAAGTGTGTGCACTGAACGTGTCATTGCAGGCACTTCTACAGGAGCATTCACAAAAAAGGCAGAATTGTCTGACACATGTAATGTGAAATGGCCCTAAGGCTGTAATCTTAAAGATCTAAACTAGGATATGGAGAGGGATTATTGATTAGTTTTTGTATCTGTTTTTATTATGTATTTTGTGTTCTCATTTTTATGTTCTGAACCGCCCTGTGATCTTTGGTTGAACAGCGGTATACAAATTTAATAAATAATAATAATAAATAACATGAACTTTGGGTGACTTGCATCAAAGTAAATTTGTTTAGGTGTGTGCAGAAGAAGAAGAAGAGAAGAGTTTGGATTTGATATCCGGCTTTATCACTACCCGAAGGAGTCTCAAAGCGGCTAACATTCTCCTTTCCCTTCCTGCCCCACAACAAACACTCTGTGAGGTGAGTGGGGCTGAGAGACTTCAAAGAAGTGTGACTGGCCCAAGGTCACCCAGCAGCTGCATGTGGAGGAGCAGGGAATCGAACCCGGTTCACCAGATTACGAGACTACTGCTCTTAACCACTACACCACACTGGCTCTCATTTAGTAACTACTAAATTACTACTCATTTAGTACCGTAATTTAGTAACTACTAAAGTCTAGATTTAATCACTGTTGTTTTGAAATCAGCTTTCAATGTTACTCAGACTGAACTGGAGTAATGTGTAAGCTTCACCTTTCATTTGCACTTGTGGCCCATGCAGATCACTTGAACACACAATGCACAGCTTCTCAGATCAAACCTTTAATTGAAAATGGCTGCTTTATATTACTCCCAACATGTCTTCGATGGATCTAGTAACAGTGCCAATTTTTAAATAAAGGAAAAAGAAAATATGCTGTAAGCATTAAATCAAGTATAGCCAATATTGCACTCATCAGAAGTTGTTCGACAACTCTTCTTATAAAAAAAAAAAGTGCCCCTACTCGCAATGAAGTTGTTACAGTGAGTGCCACACTTTTAACCAGCGCTTTTCTTCTAGAAAAAAATGGTGCTGGCACTGCAAACCCTTGTGTACCCCCAGAAAAAAGCACTGACTCTCGTAATCCCTTCCCATAACAATTCAGTGTGTCTTAAGAACGGACAATTTGTTTTTTAACCTTGGGTAGAACCCACTTTGACCATCACCTCTGATGTTGTACATTGAAATCCAACTTAACACAAAGTAAAAAAAAAATTAAAATGTGGTTTTTCATGTTATTGATAGTGGATCATATACCTCTTTTAATGAAGCCAGACTGTTGGTCTGGTGAAAGTGTTTGGTACTCAATTGCATAAAAAGAAGCAAAGTTGTGATTAAATTTATGAGTCACTTGTTGACTACTTGTATGTTTTCCCCCAAATATTTTCAGTTTTTTAAAAAACAAAAAGCATGGTATTTTTAAAGATGCCCTATAGGTTTGAATATTATACTTCATGTGAACACAAGTTGAAACTGAGCTGGTTCTGAATATCATGTGGATTGCTAGTCATAGGCTGGGCTATGTGGGTGCATTAAAACTTGCTCTTGTGCACAGCCTGCTAATATAGGCAGAGGAACAAGGGAGCAGGGCTGGATTTATGTATAGGCTAAGGAGGCTGGAACCTAGCACCTCTAAATCTAGGGGGCCTCCCCAGCCCGCCTGCTCCCCTCTCCCAAAATTGCAAACCCAAGACTTCATGCAAGGGCAGGGCAACTTGGGCTCTGCAACTATAAGACTCAGGGCTAGCCAGTGGTGCCCAACGTGGAATCTTAGAGATAGAAATACAATCCATCTAGATTGCCCTGGTGCAGGGACCCCCTTAGGGGTGGCCTGCGGGGCCCAAATTGCTCCAATTGCCTTAAGGCCAGCCCTGATGAGACTCTGCAGGGGTTGGGCTGACAAGCGCTGCCACTTCTAGGTACCTGGTCTCACTATTCAGAGTACAGACTCAAGGACTTGTTATGGAAATAAAGGGGGGCACTTATTGGAAATCATTTTTGTCACTTCTCAACATCTCTCCTCCCTCAAAACCCCAGGACAATGAGCCTTTGCACTGTTAATGGAGAAAGCTCACAAATTGTATCCCATCTGGTTTCTGTTGGCAAAACTTGTTGCATTGTTGCAAAAAAGTGTCAAAATTGTATCGCCTTGTACTTGACCATGCTGATGGACCTTTGAAAATCACATAAAATCAATGCCATAACCAATTATTCCATTTCAATGACATTTTGCTTCAAAAGGAAAGGCGGACTTGGACATCGCCTTCCTCCATAGTCCTCTAAGTGAAGTCACTTACTCAACTTGGATACGCCCCCCCCCCATAATCCTTAGGATATACAGTCAATTACAGAGCATCCCTCCCTTGAGGGGAACAATGAACATCCGTTGATGGGTTTCCTGAGGCCAGATGTTCCCACCTCGGGAAGGCCAGAAGGCAAATATATGCATAGATACTTTTACAGTAGTACCTCTGGTTACATACTTAATTCGCCCCAGAGGTCCGTTCTTAACCTGAAACTGTTCTTAACCTGAAGCACCACTTTAGCTAATGGGGCCTCCTGCTGCCGCTGCGCTGCCAGAACACGATTTCTGTTCTCATCCTGAAGCAAAGTTCTTAACCCGAGGTACTATTTCTGGGTTAGCGGAGTCTGTAACCTGAAGCATATGTAACCCGAGGTACCACTGTATTGTTTTTTAGCTGGCGGGTACTTAAGGTGTTAGGAACTTGATCTGATAACGGGGGCAAGTTGATGAACTTGGGTAACCTCACGACTCCCCTCCCTCCTCGTGACATGATGATGTATCAGCGATGTATCAATGATGGTCTGGAAATGTATTCTGGGTAGGGAGGGGAGGTCTTCAAAGAGCTTGTAACCCATGTTCGGGGTTCTTACTCTGTGTGGAGACCTGTTGCGCCACAATAAAGATTGTGGTCTACTGACCGCTGTTTTGCTTCTGTATTTGGCTGGAACTTCCTTCTTCTGCTAACCACAGAGACCTGCAGGGACTTTCGCCCTGACAAGCTGGGCTGCTGAGCATCCTCACACCCCCAAAATTTTCCATCTCAGAATCCAGAACCAGCAGGCCCAGAGAGTCAACAACCAGCTGTACAGCCTTCCTCAGCTCAAGGGTCAGGTCAGTAGTGGTACGTGCTGCACTTTAATCAGTGGGAGCATGTGAGTGGGAGGCTGCATGGAGCAGATAAGACTACGCAAGCAAGCTCTCCCAAGTCTCTTCCATTCCTTCCCTCCTTCTTGGCTTGAACAGAGCAAGGCAAGCACATGTGACTGGCACTGGCCTCACCCCTCCCAGGCAGATAAGTCTATCTTTCACACTTCGCAGAGCCCTGTTGGTGCCTGCAGTATGCACTGCAGATTGCCCACAGGCAGAGAGAGGCCTTGGGGATCAGGGAAGGCAGCAGTGGGAAGGGATCCTCGGAGGGATCCAGAACTACCTGTAGAAGGCAGGAGGCCAGGCTGCAGGTTGGTAACTGGACCTCATCCTGACTGATGTTAATGGGAAGGGGGAGACCAGGCTCCAAGCTAGCAATCTTTTGCAGAAAATGGAAGAACTGGAATCTCCGTTTATGCTGCATTTTTGGACCTGTGTGCTAGGTCATTTTCACAAGGTCAGCAAAGCCTTTCAAAAATCAGACCTGAGTTCTTGTACAAGTTTGTACAGTTCACTTCTGGATTTTTAAAGGAAAATTAGAGATGATTTTGATGAGCTTGAGAAACAAGCAAAAGCCACCTTACCAAATGTCAACTACAAAACAAGGAGACAAAGAGTGAGGGAACGGCAAAGAAATGACAAGTGCACCTGATGCCTAAGATGCACTTTCTTCAAGAGATAGGTTTAGGATAAAATCCTTTATCAATTATTAGATGCACTTGAAGCCAAATTAAAAAGAAGTACTGTGCACAGTGATGTTGCAGAATTGTTTGCCATTCTTGCTAATTTGACAGCATCTAAGCAAGAAATTCAGCAAGGTGTTGAACAGTTGATGGAAGCATACCCAGAAGATATTGACCTGAAACCCATTGATGAACTTTTGCCCTTTCACCTGTACGTGACACAAAGCCATAGGCCTACAGCTCCGCATTCTCTGTTTCATACAGAACTTTATCAAATTATATATATAAGGACAAAATTCATATGGCCTTTCCTAATGTGGAAGCATTAGGAATCTTCCAGCTATTTCTTAGCCTTATGGCCACTAACTGCTCAGGATGTCACATTGAAAGTGACAAACTTAGACAAACAAATTTTGATGAAGTTTTGGATGATTTTGCTATGAGGAAGGCTAGGAAAAAAACATTTTAGCCTTCCTGTATTTGATGGTTGTAGTTTACTTCTTAATATGTATTTTAAAACTGACTTTTTAATGACAACATAAAGTAGATTCCAAAAGTGCCACACTGTCAGGTAATCATGGTCATATTATTTACACTTCCCAGGCAATTTGTAAACTCAAGGTGTGTGTTTTTTAAGAATAACATTACAACTTCATTTTCCTAAAAATTAATGCTTATTACACAAAAGGTTTACAAAGTTCAGGTATTGCAAAAGTTTTTCAGTGTTAATTTTATGCATTTTTAAAAATCACCATGGTATTTAACAATAAAATCTTATGTCCTTTAGAGGAGAAATTGAGAATTGCAGAATTTTAAATACCCGTCATCATCCTTGGCTTCACTGAATTTTGTTTATAACACTCTTCCATTTTCTTCTAGTCGTGAGGGTGGGGGGTTGGGAGGGGCCTCACAAGCGGAGTAGCCTAGGGCCGCTCTTCATCGAAATCCGGCCCTGGCTACAGCTGCAGCAAGAATGCTGATTGCTAAAAATTAGAAAGGGGATAGGACAGCCACGAAGGAAGAATGGCAAATCAAATTGTGTGAATATTTGGAATTAGCAAAAATGACAGAAGTAATTAGAAATCAACCAAACCAAAAGTTTAAAAAGGAGTGGGCCTGTTTTAAAGAGTACCTGGAAGAACATTGTTGTCAAACAAAACCTTTAATGTGTTTTGACTAAAGTTTGCAAAGTAAATAACAGATAGATAGATAGATAACATATATTATGCAAGAGAAGTGAAATAAGGAAACCAACACAGTTTAAAAGATAAGAAAGAAGTAAGAAGCCGCAATAAGGTGGAGGGACGTCACGTGTGAAGAAGTATTGATTTATTTTGGTTCACATTCGTGTATAAGTTAACATAATTTGAAGAACGAATGGAAAATGTATATAATTAATCAATGTAAAATCAATAAAAAATATTTAA